AAGTGCAACAGTGTGTTGAGAATCCTCGTCTAATTCGCCTGATGTAAAAATTAATCACAAATCAGAAACTGCAAGCAGCATTATGTTTGTGTAGCAGTCCAAACGTGACACATGTCAACCGTTAAATGCAAAATTATTTTTTCTGAAAACGAACTACCTTTCTTGCAAACGCATCATAATTCATGATGTGAGATATCGGACAGTTTAATCTTAAATAGGCATTTTGAAAATAATGTTTCCCATTTTACGACTTTTAAAATAAACTTGAAGCCACACCAAATTAAAATTGGCGCGAATCTGCTATACATTAAATCCTTTTATAAAGTCGAGCTCTTGAGGATAATTTTATATGTAGTGCAAAAATTGCATCCCAACCTGAACCCAGTTGATTTACTTGCAAAGTCAAGGCTAAATTTTTGTCGTCGGGCTAAATATCACTCGAGGTTTCCACCAATAAGGGAAGAGCCTCCCATAATCAACTCTTGCTATTTCGAGTACAGTCTGTGTGATTACAGAAGCGAAAGTCAAGGCCGATATTTGAAGAAACAATTAAACCGCCTAAATTGGCGGCTTTCACAATGGATCAACCTATGGCAGTATAGCAACGCTTCTGAATTACAATTTTCCAATACACTTTAAGCAGCCACTCAATCGTCACTTAAATTCCGCGCAAATTCAACAATTAAATTAACTCATTGCAGTACATTTCGGGAAATAACCTTTTTTCTCAACCCACAGGTTTTGCTAAATCGTCAATTTTTTTCTTTTTTTAAAAAAAGAGTGGAAGTTTAATTTTAAATGTCATTTACCTCCACTGCGAAGTTCGGCCGGTTGACACTCACGAACGTGGCAAGAACAACAGAAAAGACGGAAAAAATTGTCTAAACATAGTGGACTTTTTGTGTTACAAATTTAAATCTCCCTATTAAAATACATTTTCCTTGGTGCTTGGGAAAGTAATTATTTGTTTAAAAAATCATAGCATTAAGTAATTGTTTTTTGGTAGTCAATGCAAACAAAAATGATAGATGAAATACTGACAAATCAGAAAACGACAAGTAAAATTTTGGTTTGAGTTTTCTACCGAAAATTCCTTTTAGTGCTCATTGCTTATTGTTTAAACTGTATTGATATTTCGGGGGATTTACGAACAAACAATGCGCCCGCAGAAGCGAATAATACTTAAGTCGGTTCATGCGCGGTTTACTTGAAATTCTCTGTGGTATTAGTGAACACTGGAAGACGTTTAAGTGTTTAAACAAGGCACCATTGAATCTCCACCGGGACACGGGCTCTGTTCAGTTCAGTCTGTTCAACGCAATCGATCGACCTCCAGGCATTAAAACAAAAACTTTCTCAAGGTCGCCTGCTGACAGGAATAATTGACAATATTGTATCAAATTTGGCCGAAATTTTAAACTCCACTTATCAGTAGACTATTTTTAGTTACTATTTTTCTGCAATTTTGTTATATATACCGTGAAATTTACTCTTTTTAATGCCATTTTGAGCTGGTGATTCAAATTTACATCGACCAACGAAGGCAACTCCAGTAGACATGAAATCTGCGTGGGCTTGTGGAGGTGGGCTTGACGCTGCACGCAATAGTACACACATTTCGTCTGATTTATAGCGAACCCACTCTTTCTTTCAACCTCTCTGGAGTTAAATGCTCTTACCTGGACTGAAGCCATGTTAATTGAGGCGGTTGCTTCCAGATGATCGACTTGTCGACCGACAAGCTATGCACACGTAAAGGGCTGGGTGATTAGGACAAAGTGCTTTCCATGATCCTTGTCAGAGTTGACAGAAAAGGCATCGAAGGTGACAGCAGCATCGCAGGCTCAGACCATCGCTGTGGAGGGATCGGACAGCTGTCAGAAGAACGCACACGCTGTACGAAAGTGGTACGAGGTAGAAATGTCAGTGCGTCGTCGTTGTCGTCGTTGAGGGTGTCTTTGGACAAGTAAGAGCATTCGCTGGCGCACACCGAATTCCCTCCACCCCGTCTCTTCTTTTTCGCTCGCTCTCTCTCTCGCTCTCTCTGTAATCTCGCTTTCTGCCCAATTCCCGTGTCCCCCCTTCCCCCACACCCAACCCCCCCCCACCACCACCACCCTGGACGTTCTGCCTGCGTGTCCGGGTTGATGGGATGATAGATTACCCCTTTGGCAGGTGTGTGTGTGTGTGCGCGAATCATTGGTCAGCTGCAATTGCGCGCAATTTGGTGGACAGACAGCCGCCACTACGGGCCTGTCCGTTTCATGGCCAATTGCGGACCAATCAGGTCGCTCGCAGGCTCGTGCGTGTGTGCAAATGTCCGCACGAAGACGGCTGTCGAATACACGACCGTCAGTTTTAGAAAAAGTGCACAACTTTTTTCCCCTGAAACGGTGAATTGAGGAAAATTGAATTTTTTTTGGTGTGGATTTGCCTATGGTGGCTGGAAGGCCAAATTTTAATGGAATGCCTCACGCACATCACCCGCCTAAGTGCTTTGAAGTGATTGCACTGCCTTAGCAGCCTACAAAGAGATGTCAATTTGCGCGCCGTTTGTGAACAATCAGGTCGGTTTAATAACAGCTCAAAATCTAAGCTATTTGCTCACGGGAATGTGCTTTACCCCAACTGTCACAATGGTTATATTTGCTCTGTGTTTGCTGTGTGGTCGGCGCCAGTGTCAACCATCTTGTTTACACTAGTTACATTTCAAAATTTCGAGATTATCTGGTAATAGTGTATAGAAATTGAACAACAGACCGCTCATTTTATGCTTTTTAAAAAATAAAACGACTTATCAACTGATAAAAGTAGAAGGAGGATTTGAGAGTAGTCAGTTTATATGCATTGAATAAACCGAAGAGATAAACACGTCGAAATACAAATCCCACCTTCTACACTGAAAAACATTTCAGTTGTTTATCGTAAGTTGCAATGTGATTGGATGCAACCTCCTGCTCTTCTCCCATTGGTGGATGAGCTCGCACAATCTCGATAGGTTATTTATTTCATCCCGGGGAAATGGGAACTGTTTTTATTGCTGTTACTTTCGTCGTTAGCGCTGATATTGTTGTTCTTGTCTTTGTCTGCAATTTCACACAATCTTGCTCAACGAAGGCTTCGAGCACAACACGTCATCCTCGCAAATCAGATTAATCTGCTCCTAACCCAGATACCAAGGGATGGAGATAGAAAGGAGGATCCTCCTCCTGGTTGTTCGTGCTGACAAGGCGCGTGAGTGAGTTTGCAGTTTCCGCGCACAAACACCACCACCACCACCTACACAACCTCACTTCCAGCCTGTTCACCTGTCAGCAGAGTGTACGCGCACAAAGACGTTGGTTTGATTAATTTCTTCGATTGTTCAGTTCGTCATCCTTTTCTTCGTCGAAACCACCATCCACCACGACTAGAACTCAAGTGCGATCTGAGAGAGGGAGAGGCAGGAAAAAAAAATTGAAGTTTGAGAACACCATTGAGCTAAATTCGAGTTTCCTTTTCAGGTGTGCTAGCATTGCTATTTTCGTAAATGCGTCGACTGACTATATTCTATCGGTTCACGTTGGATGGTTAGCGAAGATCTGCCTATTCACACACTAAGTAGGCGAATCAAGAGCTATCCAGGCGGAATTTTGAATGTTTACGCCATGGGTAAGGTTAATCGTTAGATGAAATCCACGCCTTCAAAACTGCCACCTCTTAAGTTCGGACGATAAATCATTTGACTTTTCATTCCCCACCACCACTGTTGTTTTAATAGTCTCGGTCGCTCGCTAGGCGGTCAATTCGAATTTCGGAGATACTGTCCAGTCTGAATTATTTGTTGATGACAATAGCAAGTATCCGTCAGGATAGCTGTAGTAGAATAGTTGCAAACATTTCCCTAAAAAGGTATTTTTTAAGCAATAAATGGTAGTAACAAACTTAGCCATTCCTAAAATGACAGGATTCGCAAGATGCTACTCAAATACACACATTGTCTTCTCAGTAATGCGTTATGTTTAAACGCTTTGGAGTGGCATTAGCATATTGTTGGTGGGATTACCTATTTGCCAATGATAACCAAGAACTAACAAGGTCATGCGCACTGTGAGTCATAGCTTTTTAAGTGGTCAGGAGACGCTGGGGAGGCAGGAGTGTCACGCTGGGCCACAGGAAAGCAGAAATTGTAACGAATTGAACGGGGTGCTGTGTACACAAGCCCATTAAATTTCAACCTCCCACAGACTAGTAGGCGAGTGGTGCTTGTAATACATTAACTTGACAACCCGCCACGTCAGTTTCCTCTCTACCAAGTAGCAAATAAAGGTTACTTTCAACGTGACACGTGATTGGCTGCTTTCGAAGGTCATTTGCTAGGAGCTGTTGGTGGTATATTGCAGAATATGAGGATTCAAGCCTTGGAGAAGTTAAGGGATGAGCTGTTTATTAGAATATCTGAGAAAGTAGAAAGTTAGATTTAGTCATGTTTTTAATGGGTCTCATGATGATTGGATAACAACCAATCCAATGAGTGTTTTTGCCTCAAGGTTTTTCATGGTGCTGAAAGCAGTTATTCATTGGACAACTCCAGTAGACATCAGACAAAATTATGAAAACATGGTTTGTGTTTGGTGTTTATTTGAAAAAAATCCAGCAACAGGCTCTAATAACAAATTTTCAGTAGTAAAGGCGCATCACCATGCTGTCCGTCTTGTGGCGGCTCAGGTTTATACAGATGTGCTCACGTCATGTAATACCAATGCACTAGTAATTACAAGGGGAGTCAAAAGCGCTAATCAATATATTAGATCAATGGAATCCAAACAAATTTTAATTAACTGTGCTTAAGGAGCATTACGGATTGGATAAACGAACTTTAAATCTCGATTAACTGATTTTTTTACGATTAATACCACATTTTAAAATAAATTATATTAAAAAAATGTTAAGGAAATGCTAAGCATGTGTTACATTTCATGCTTTTTAGTGAATTGAACTCGTTATAGGTTAATATCGGTGTTAAATCTGCATAGAGATGTATTGAAGACTGCAGTCATCTGCCTTAAAAATAGTCCAGGGAAACGCTAAAAAAGATATTGAGAAATTTAAACGAACGGCGAAATTAAGTATATGCAATAAGAAGATCGATAAAATCTATAACAGGACACAGTTTTCAAAATTATAAACAACACGCCACAGTCCAGAAAACGATGCGGATGCTAAAAATTAAACAATCAATAACGTGATCATAAAAAAAAATGATTTTTTGTAGCTGGGAATTTAATTATGTGGCCAGAATAACAACTTAATCCCGCATGTAAGAATACAGATTAATCAACAAATTTTGAATAATTCAGAATTAAAACGCAGATGGCGTCCATTTGAATTTTCAAATAAAAAACCTACTGTTTTGTTCATTTTGAAAGTCCACTTAGCATACACTGAATACCCTTTAACTCAGAATTAAATAGATTTTTTCCAACAGGGATTTAGTACCTCAAAATCACAGTCTCAAAATAGTTAATGCTAGCAAGTTAGTAAAGTACATTTTATACAAGGTGTTTAGATAAAATCCTTTCCAAACTAAGTGGATGGCTACATTAATTAGTAAACAAGGAAACCGTGCAATGTGTTGTCACCTGGAACTAAATCCTGTGACATCCAGTGGTGCTACATTGCGGTTTGTTGACAAATTCCTCAGTCCGCCCAAAAACATCAATCTTAAGGGGTTGGTTTGATTCACAACACACTCTCAGCAAAATTTACGCCACAGAAGAAATAGAATTACATTTTAAACCTATGCAAGGCTGGTATTGCTTCATAAAAAAATTAGTTCGATACTTGAGTTGTAAGATGCACATGCATACATTCTATGTATGTGACACGTTCTGTATGTATTGGTTGCAGAGGTCCTAGATTCATCTATTGGTATCAGTATTTTATGTTATTGATCATAATTTGGGCCATAAGATGATAAACCAGTTATTTTATCCCACCAATGGGATTGAAAAACTTCCCAAAGGAATTTGAGTTGGCAAGACTATCAGGTTTATAAACTAAAGCATGACATCATTCAGGGCATTGGCCTTACAACTAGTCCTAAATGGATGACTTACACGTAGCTAGTCACCAGATGTAAATATTAGTTTAATGAGTTGCAATTGTATTGATCTTGATGGAGAGGCCAGGGATTCGAATTATGGAATCCGAACTAAGGATGCCATTTCTCTGAATCCGTTTCATTTAACTTTAGAATTGATGTTTGCACTCAAATCTGAAAATCCTGAACATGCATATACAGAAATGAAGGGGGACTTTAAATATTTTACCTCTAACCTGGCAATCAAGCAAAGCCTTATCGTTAAAGCCATCGCATATTAATAATAAATTGTTTTTCTATAAATTTGGAACACGATATTTTATTTAACGGATAAAACTACCAAAATACATTCCAGTTTAAGTAACTAAACATTTTGAGACTTAATGGCAAATAATGATGTAAAACAGGCAAAGGGTACGTGAAGATAATTATATTTTTTTAAACGTGGGAAATTTTGGATAAAGGTTAAAGTAGACATCTGTCTCTCGAACAATGATATCTAACCTTGTACCGCCAAGGTTGCAATCTGGTGTCGCATTGGATGATTACTTCTGTCAGTTTGTCAGGCCACTATTGGTTCCCGCTCACCTGGGCTTAATTGACGGTTTTCGTTGCTGTTGCGACGCGTTCATGAGGTCAGTTTGTCTATGTACAAAATTTAACATCGAGTTACAGTTTTTTACAATACTCATAGCTATGTTTTCGAGAATTTTTTTATAACTTAGCCGATTTGGGAATTTACGGATCTCAATTATGCGTCTTGTAAAAAAATAAGGTTCGATCGAACACTAAACTTGTAACGGTCTTTTTTATAAAGCCTATTACGTTATCCTCGATTCGATCTTTTCAACCCAATCATTATTGTAAAGCTATTATTATTCTTATAATCTTCAATGTACTTCATTCATTCCAACATCTTAACGTTTTAATCACGTTAATATGGCCTCGACTTTTTCATTTTTCTATCTCAAAAGGTTATGTGCGTTGGCGTTGTTAGGGAATTTGTATCGTATTTATGTGGTTTGTAAAATTGATCTTCTGAATTACAAAAAAATTACTGGGTGGAAATAATCCATTTTTCAAATATGTAAATGCCAAGTTTCTGGACAGCTTTTTAGCGCAATTACCCTTTAACTGAAACCCGCATTGTTGCTTCGTAAATCAAGGTTCAATGGTCAAGAACTAGGCCACATTTCAGCCCAGTGGAACTCGGTCTTCGAGGGAATATTGCTAGTAAAACAACGTCCGGACTCGTTTTTTCGGCGCTCCAGTAGTAGGTTCATCTGCCCAGTCATTGACCACTCTCGTAGCCTTTACTGAACACTGGTGTCGCCTCAAGGGCAATCTGTTGGTGATCCTTCGCAATGAAGGCACACGTTCCACCGACTTGGTCGGCGTTGTCTTACTGGAGCGGTGCTCAGTCAGGCTAGTCGTTGATGCGGACGTCAGGAACGCCTTTCAAATAGGTACATCGGTCTTTTCATACACTCCCATACACCGGGCGACCCGCCTTCTATGCTGCGTGTATGCCTTCTTTTTAATGCGTAGAGTTCAAATTCGGTGAACCGCCTCTTCTTCTGGCGGCTCGTTCGGCGGAAGAGGCCAAAGTTTGGTGTGGCCACATTGCCGCAGCTGGCCTCACTGAGTTGTCGGCGCGCAGAGCTCAGCTCCGTGAGGAGTTGCTGCGAATCACCGGCAAGGACCCGCTCGATCCACTCACCAGTGCTCTGCCGCCACTTCCTGCAACGAGTGGTATGCACGTTTACTCTGACGTTGAACCAGCTAGTATTCCATCTGCATTCTCCTTGTTTCCCTTGCCTTTGACGAATTTCGAGTCTCAGCGTCGAACGATCTGACCGATCTGCTCCGATGAATTGTCTTCATCGTTTCATTGACGCATCAGTGAATAGGTCAATAGGTTACGAAGGTTGTCGAAGTGCATGCGGTACTTCTACCCTGTTGTGTGGCTGTTAGTTCACCACACAGGCTGGCCGAACCCCACTTGTGCATAAGTGGAACGAAACTTTATTGCAATTTAGGTGGAACATCCTTTAGTGGCTGAATCAGTTGCTTTTGGTATATTTCCGGCGTATTCTCTACGCGTTTAGCTTTTGTACAGAGGTTCCGGGTCAATCATCTGCGCTTGTAGTGTTGCCAGGTTGTATCAGTGCGTAGATGCTCGATTTTTATTGAAACGGTGTAGCACACACCTCAATATAGTAATTTCTATCACCTCTTTTTGCAAATTGCGTCTTGTGTATCACATGTATCAAATTAATGAAACGATAATTTATTCCATATCTGAATAGCTTTCAGGAAAAAGGTTTCAGCTTTGAACATTTGTTGCGGGCTTGTGTAATAAACTCTTGTCCCAATTCAGCCGGCGTTGGCTAACAGGCTCTCATCAGTGTCTTTTTCACGTAGATGCGGACGAATTAAACGTGACAGGACTGGAGCTACAGTTAAGTAAGTTGCCTCGACCTCGTTCCATACCCTCTGTGGACCCAACAGTGGTTTCTATCGATTTGATTAGGTTTGATCGCGGAGAAAGTCTCGTCTGCCAGAGGCCCTGAGCCAAGCCTTAGGATTACGGTAGCAGTGAAAGACGCCGGCGAGGCACAGACGTGGAACGTTGTCGCGGAAACTGAAATTGAGGTGAGTAGTGACAACCTGTCTGATCTACCACCGCCGCCTCCCTCTTACCTTATCCTTAATGCGTCACCAAGAGCTGAGCTGCTCACTGGACCACGTGATATGGATGATTCTTAAGTCACGAACGCCTGACACGCCAAGTAGGCCCACTTTAGCCTCGTTCCTGGGTAGCGGGTTTTTGAAACCGGCTCTGACTCGTGATTGGTCACAAACGCGAGTCTCATTCGTGAAAACTATTAGTCCAACGTTAGACGAGGATTAGGTTATTGTCTGGTTGCGTGCATAGTTACGCTCGCTTATTCCGCATTCCCAGACCAGCATCTGTCCGACCTTCCTGAAAACGATCAAACTGAGTTCAGAGAAGTACTCCAAGTCCTCGCATATCCAATTCCGCCTTCTTGAGTTCAAGGATCTTCGGTCTTCTGTGGTGAGTGGCAGTTGTAGTACGCCTGGACGCCAAGTGTACACCTTTACTCGCTTAGACGCTGACGATTGGTTGATATGCTTCTCCCGCGTCTCCTCCTATAGGCCCGTGTAGTTAGTAGCGCCGAGACAACCGTCGAAGCTCTGTCGAGTTCCACCGTGCTGGATCTACCCATGAGCGGAGTGGACGCGTCAAATAGGCCTACCGGTCAGAGGTACCGCTTGGTGCTCCAGGTGAACCAACGTTTTTCCACCCTGCCTGACGAAAATGTAAGTTAGCCAATCTGTGGTCTCACGTTGGTTCGGGTATCTTGTGGTGTGCCGGCACTTCAGGGCGTCTATTCGTTAAATCATTGAAGTACTGGGCGATTTTGCATGTAGAGTCCCTGAATGGGGACGGTAGCACGTATGCAAAGTGGTTATTCCACAACTGGACGCGGTGGACGCGAAGATGGATCCTCCCACAGAGGTCGTGCGCATTGAGCTCAAGCCTCGGGCTAATTGGCTACCACCTAAAGAAAATCATTATCTCTAGAGGTCAACTAAGGGTCAAGTAAATGCCTTGGGTGTTTTGGGTACCTGACGCCGGTATAAACATTCACACATGTGCGCTTTTGCTTCAAAATTCCGCAAGCTTCTCCAAAAAGCTCTCTGGTTCAGTCACTTTGAAGCACTCCACCAATCGAATAGTCTCAAACATCGCCTTCTAGTTCCTCTCTAGCCCATCTGTTCAATCAATTGACTGCAATTTGCACAAAGGCACCGCTTTGCGTAGCCAATGAGAGTGCGATGAGTTGTGTTCATGAGTGACCTTGCGACAAGCACCAATGGTTTAATGACGCAAAATTCGTTAAGGAGGAAGGTGAAATTTGAAGTCTGTGTAGTGCCTGAATTCAACAGTCGAAATGCGTACTTTTTTCATACAAATTGTCACAAGATTAATGCCACAAAATTAGACAGAAAATCAATATATTACAGTGTACGGGCACCTAAGGGCGTCTGCTTAGCACGTGAAGACTCTGACTGTGATTATTCCAGGACTGGACACCTTGAAATAGCTGTAGAACCCCACGTCATAGAGGTTGTGTCTCAGTAAACTCGCGCAATTTCAGCTCAAGCCTCAGGCTAATTGGCTATCACTTAGGAAGAATCACTCCAT